AAAGCTGCTGGTCATCTTCCTCTGTCCAGGCGCGAGGTACCTCCGGGGGAGTTCCTGGATTGCCAACATCGGAGTGAGCACGAGCAGGGGCTTCAGGAAGGGATTCAGGAGAGGAGAATGGGCCCACGCAAGGAGATACTGGAGCCGGCGCTGGAGTGCGAGGTGCTGGACGCGCTGGAGGCTCCGGGGATTGTGTCCTCTCGGAGGATGTAGCTCGGCATCGCTTCCGCTTCGCTCTGCGCCGACCGGTCTCACCCTTGTCCATGATGGAGCTGGGAACATTGGCCTTCTTGATGCTCGGCTGACCGACATTGGTGTGCGCCATGGAGCTCTTCGGGCGTGGATCTACAGCCTCGTTGGCATCCCCCGTGACGATGCCGTAGGACAGCGACTTGGGGTTGACCACCGCGTTGCGCTGGTGGTCCACGTGTAGCTGGAGTGACTGAGCGTCGGCTAGCGGTGGAGGGTCAGCCAGATCCTCCGAGTTGACCGAGTGCCGAATCCCGGGGCCAGGTGGTTCTACCTCATCGAGTCGGGCATGGTCATGTGCTCGCGGTCGCGAAGATTCTGCCAGCGATAGACCTCGGAGATGAGGATGCCACGCGCCATCGTGCCCACCATGAATCCTGCGACTGTGTGCCTCGTCTGCCTGATTCAAGGTCTCCTGGATGAGCTGCATCATGTCCGCAGCGTTCTGGGTCATCCGGTGGTGGAGTGCAATCATGCGTCCGAGCATGACGACCACGTTCCGATATCGGCGAAAAGGCCCACGTCTTGAACCACCAGATAAGCTCCGTGATAAACCCGCGAATCAAATGGCTCCGGAACTCAAACAGAACAAACCAAGCCCAACAGCCCAACCGAGCCCGACCCCGTTTGGGAAAGACCGAACCAAACAAGACCAGCAAGGGCCACGCAGCCGAACCTCAAGAGACAACGACAACCAGCACATAAACATTCTTTCCGGTTGGGATGGCCGGAAGATGAAACAGGTGCTGCAGATCCGCTGACTTGTAGCCGGCGGACAAATAGATACTGCGAAGCTGATCCAACGCCATCTGTACTGCCCGTGTCGGGTGCGCATACTTGGTGGCGAGAGCTGACCGTGATCTAGCCCCGGAGAGAAGGGTGGAGAGACTTCCTGCAGTGTGGGGTCCTCTGATCTGCCAGATTTTTGTTGGGGTTTTGTAGTAAATCGCCCGGTCGCCTACGTCGATGACAAAGCCGAGGAACTCCGAGGAACCTACCTGTTCCAACACGATGGGTGCACCATAAAAGTCAGCGTGAAGCAAAGCCTCCAACGGGGCTGCTGGGTGACCGGAAGCCGGAGACGGGAAAATCACAAATCTGTTGTCGACATATCGCTCCAAGAAGATGT